GCCCATAGTGACTTTTTATAGGGTTTCCAAGGAGCTTGAACTGCTGACCTTATAGTTTATTAGTATAAATGCTATGCTATTAACTGAAATGATTTCATCCATGTAGCTGTTTTTCTTTATTTGACTTTCTGATTTAGACTTTATCATAGAAAAGACGACTGTCCTTTCATATACAGTGTGAATAATATTACTGAGAGGGACTGGTCCTCAATATGCTAGTGTGAAGGTGTTAACTGAGTTTTCTTCCGTTTTGTGGAAGGAGGCCTGGGAATGGGGTTGGGGACCTGAAAGGCACGTAAAGTAGAGGAGACAGCACTAAAGACATATAGAGCACCAACTGACATTACCCTTGCTGGGTGCTGTAGGGATCAGCACTGGACTCTGAACAACAAGGTTGGCAGTTCAAACCCACCAGCTCCTCAGAAACCCTATACAGGGTCTCTATGAGTTGGAATGGATGTGACGGCACCTAACACCACCAGGGTGGGGTGAAAGGACTAATGTGATAGATGATTTTCTTATTAGTTACTGCCCATGATAGTTACGGTTTTGTGTCAACCTGAGTGTGCCAGGATTCTCAATGGTTAGCAGTTAAGATGTTAGGTCTAATATAATGGGATCACCTCCGTCAGCACTCAATCCATTGAAAGGAAGATTCCTGGTGTGTATGTGTGTGTGTGGTCTGCAACACCTTTTATGGTACAAGAGATAAGAGGATGCAGAAGTAAGCAAAGAAGGAGGGACCAACTACCACCAAGAAAGAAGGGCTGGGACTTGAGCACGTCCTGTGGACCTGGGGTCCTTGCTCTGGGAAGTTCCACGATCCAGAGGAAGATTGAGGCCAAGATTCATGGAGAAGTCCAAGGAATGCTGGACCTACAGATGCTGCAAGGAGATGACAAAAAAACACAAGCTTTCCCCTGGAGCTGACACTCTGAACTTGAAAGAATAAATTTCAGTTTGTTGGAGACAACCACTTGTGGTCTTTCTTAACCTCCCTTAACTTTGGGTTGCTCAATGAATCACACCATTCAAGGCATGAGCGATGGAAATGAGAAGTTTAGAGGAAGAATGCTTCACTGGATCACCAGTCACCATCAAGTCAAGTCCAACTCATGGTGCTCACGTGTGTCCGATTGGAACTGTCCTCCAGAGGGTTTGCGAGGGCTGATTTTTCAGTAGCTCACTAGGCCTTTGTTTGTGAGGCATCTCTGGATGAAACGGAATCTCCAACCTTTTAATTAGTAGCCAAGTACCACCCTGTGATTGTTGTTCAAGGAAAGGGTCTCTAATCAGGCCTTACGCCATCAGTTCCATCCCAGGGAAACACAATCGTGTTACCAGCTGCTTCTAACTGCAAACATCTCACCAGTAATATGTTCATCCCTCCAAGATGGGAAAGAAACTAGAGGCACAGGGTGTCAGACGATGGGGCCATTAGCATTGACTTCTTTAACCTTCTTCCCAAATTCACATTACTGCAGCAGCAGCTTGGCATGTGGACCTTGATTCATACTTACCTTGGCATATGCTTCAATCCCAAGTTTAATGACTTCTAGCATACTGGCAAGCATCATTTGCTCCACTTGCTGGAGCCATTTCTCGACCATACCCTATGGGACAAGACATACAGAGAGGCAGCAAGAGTTAGTCCAGGCCTGGAGGGAGGGACCATGGGCAGAGTCCAATTTTCTATCATGGCAGTGATGGGGGAAGCCAAAGATATGGTTCTCTTCATCAATTTTCTTTCCTTATTTGCTTTGACATTATTTACTATATTGGAGGAAGTGCATACCTCTTCAAGAGGCAACAGAGGATTTTTCACATGTGTTGCATTCATGGTTTGAAACAGACCATTTCTTGGGAGTCAAATAAAGCCACTTATATTTCAATGAACAAAATAAATTCCTCATTTATAATGGGAAGTGCTAAGGCATGGATTTTTCCAGTGGTTCCTGAACTTTACTGTGCACTGGAATCATCTGGAGATCTTTAGAACATACGGATGCCTGGTTCCCACCCCCAGACATTCTGATTTAATTGGTATATGGAATACAACTGGGATATCAGGATTTCTTTTTAAGCTCTACAGTTAATTCAAATGTACATCAAATGGTTCCATTTTAGAAGTATAGCTAGCTGTAGCTGGGACTTCAGGTACCAGCTGGTGTCTGGTTTGGTGACGTAACTCTTGGTTGCTACAGCTTTTGTGTGTGGGTGGCAAAAATGGTCAATGAAGTGACCAAGGCAAAGAGTGGTTAGCTATTCCCACTCCAGGGCACCGTCTAGTTCAGCAGGACTTGACGTCATTAACATTTTCATCATCATGTAAGGACAAGTATGTGAAAGCCTGCATTACATGGCATCATAACACCATACCCATCTGAGCCCAACTGAACTCTGAGCTGAATAAAATGGTGGTTGTTTTAAGCTTCTGAGAACCCTGGTGATGAATGGTTAAATATTCAGTTGTTACTTGAAAGGTCAGTGGGCTAACCCAACAGCTGTTTCAAAAAACTACAAAGATTCCATGATGCTTGGAAATGAGTACCCCAGGAGGCTGAATCACCCCATAGCTGGGCTCTGCTCATAGAGATCTAAATGTAAGTTGTTTGTACCAATTCCTATTGGCTGAAATCCCTTCCACAAATCTTGTTATGTCACTTGGATTGCAGTAAAACCCCCATTTTCAAGATGGGTAATCTGAGGCTCAGAAGGATTGAGTAACTTTCCAAAGTCACCCAGTTGCTAATTGTGGAACTGGGATTTATAACCAGGCAGTATGGAGCTGGAGTCCAAATGCTTAGCCAATACTCTTGCTTCTTACTGTTTTGTTCGGGTAAAGAACCAAAAAGAAAGAGAAAGAAAAGGATGGGGTTGTTACTTTGGCTCTGGCTGGGTAGATTTTCTGTTTGAATGGAACAGTTTCTTTTTCTGAGCTGATCATGCCCTCGATTTCCAAGTTTTCCGTAAACTCCAGCTTGGCAATTCCCTCGAAGCACTTCTTCAAGTGCGGCTGGACTCGCAGGGGATCCTTTGTCTCTGATAAAATCTCTAGCAGCTCATCGTTCGACAGGAAGAAGAACCTAGTTCAAAGCAACAGGAACGTTTTCTGTAAATTTCTAATTCCAACAAGGTGAAACTCCCCCACAGGTAGACCACCCTCAGGTGAATGCCAGACATGCCCTAGAGTCTTCGCAAAGGCCCACACTGCCATTTTCCATTCAGAAGGTGGAGATGGGGTTGACTCAGAGTATAAGAGAAAGTTTGAAAGCTCATATGTATGAGTTTACTATGGTTTGGGGAGATGGTGTTACCAGTTGAAAGAAGCCTCCATAGAGTTGTGGTTCTCAACCAGGGCTTCACATTAAAATCACCTGGGGAGTTTAGAAAAATACCAATGTCCAGGGATTCTAATATAATTGATTAGGGATTAGGTCTGGGGGTTTATATTTTTTCAATTCCCAGGTTATTCTAACATGTATTCAGTGTTGAGAACCAGTGAGTAGGGGAAGGAGGAAGAGAGGACCCTCTTTGACCTTCATTGTCTCCGGTTAGTCCAGAAAATGTTACAGGTTAGAAACATGAAGTGCACATTAATAAGGAATCTATTTACATGCAGAAACTTTTACCAGTTTTTAAATTAGAGAATAAAAAGAAAACGTCATTCTCTTGTTCATACTCTAAAGTAATTAGTACATTTCAGAAAATGGTCAGGGGACAAACCTGTACTGTGACCATGGTTGTAAGTTCCATAACAGAAGGGCCCTATTAGTATGCCCTTACTGTATATGGTGGATTATGAAAAGAGCCACACTGCTTTGCAGCTTCTCTCACAAAGAAGCGAAGTCTCTTTTATGTCTCTTAAACTTGGGCTGACTCTGTGTCTTGCTTTGGTCAACAGACTGGCCAGTATGAGTTAAGGCAAGTTCTGAGCCTAGACATCAAGAAGTCTCAAAGGTTCTACTCTTGGGAACCCTGTGGCCACAACCATGTGAATAAAGTCAAGCTAACCGGGAGGATGAAAGTCATGTGGCCGGTCAACAGTCAGCCAATCACCAGACAAGTGATTGAAGAAGTCATTGCCATCAGTTACCTGTAGTCTCATGAGTAAGTCCCACTGAGACCTGAAGAACCAGTCATCTGAGCCCACCCCAGTTCTGAACTCAATAATATGGTGGTTGTTTGAAGCTTCTGAGAGTCCCAGTGCTCTGTGGTTAAATGCTCAGTTGCTACGTGAAAGATCAGTGGGCTAACCCAACATCTGCTTCCAAATACAAAGCTGTAGCACTCGGCTCCTGTAAATCCTATGGGGCAGCTCTACTCTGACTTATCAGGTTGCTATGAGTAGGAACAGACTCTGTGGGTCTGCATTTGGGCCTTTTGAGCTTCTAAGTTTGGGGACAGTTTGTTATATAACAGGAACTCTGGTGGCTCCGTGGTTAAGCACTTGGTCACTAACCAAAACGTCAGTGGTTTCAACCCACCAACTACTTCATGGGTGAAAAGACCTGGTGATTTGCTTCCATCAAGACTAGCTCTGGGAACCCTAGGGGACAGTTGTACTCTGGCTCTAAGAGGGAATTGACTCAATGGCAGTGGATTTGGGCTTTAGTTACATAACAGCCAACGAATACCCTGTGTTTGTGAAACATGTAGGAGAAGCCCAAAAATAGCAGGTTGGCTGAGTGACTAATATCTAATGGAGAGGTTACTTTCTCTTGCCCATGAGTGGAATTCAAACCAGTGGCTTCTATGGATTTTTACTGTCTCTGTCTTCAGATTATAGGAGAATGAATAAGGTCAAATGTCCATCAGGATAATAATTAATTTTGTATAATTTAAAATTCAAAGCATTCTTTGTATCATTCTAAATTCAAAACATTACTTAGCTCTCTAAAATTTAAAGATGGAGGCCTGGTGGGGCGCTGTAGGATAAGCACTGGCCTGCAAGGTTGGTTTGAACCACAAAGGTTGGTGGTTCAAACTCACTAGTCCCTCCTTGGAAACCCTGTCCCAGGTCACTATGAGTCAGAACTAATTGGACGTCACTTAACAACAACATTTTAAAGATGAAATTAATTTAAAATAAGTGATTATCTGTAACATTGACAGTGAAATAGTGATATATTCTTATTTAAGGAGATCTGGTAGCACAGTGGTTACGAATTGGGCTGCGAACTGGAAGGTCAGCAGTTCGAAACTACCAGCTGTTCTACGGGAGAAAGATGAGGCTTTCTGCACCCGTAAAGATTTACAGCCTCGGAAACCCTGTTCAAGGTTGCTATGGATCAGAACCAACTTGACGGCACTTAAAAACAACAACATACATGTGTATATATGTTTTAACAAACAAACAAACTTTGGAGGGTTCTAGAATTAAACTCTAAAACCAAACTCACTGCCAACAAGTTGATTCCTACTCACAGCAACCTTACAGAGGGTTTCTAAGACTGTAAATCTTTTCAGGGGCAGACAGTCTAATCTTTCTCCCAGGGAGCTGCTTGTGGGTTTGAACTACTAGTCTTTAGATTAGCAGCCCAGTACTTAATTCAATAGCCCTCTAAAACCACTTTGACTTTTGCTTAGCAGAACACTGGCTCTCAGGGAAAGATAATCATATATTTATAAACATACCTACCAGTTTGAGGACTAAGGTACATCTGACTCAAGCCATGGTATTTCAATAACCTCATATACATGTGAAAGTTGGACAGTGAATAAGGAAGACCATGGAAGAATTGATGCATTTGAGTTACAGTGTTGGAGAAGAATATTGAAAGTACCATGGACTGCCAAAAGAACAAACACATCTGTGTTGGAAGAAATAGAACCAGATGCTCCTTAGAAGCCAAAATGTCTCTAATACTTTGGACAAACCAGGGGGGACCAGTTACTGGAGAAGGCATCATATTTGGTAAAGTGAAGGATCGCAGAAAAAGAGGAAGACCCCCAATGAGATAGATTAGCACAGTGGCAGCTACAAATGGCTTAAGCTTAGCAATGATCGTGAAGTTGGTACAAGACCGGGCAGTGTTTCATTCTTTTGTGCATCGGGTTGCTCTGAGTCAGTGCCGACTCAAAGTCACCTAACAACAACAACAACAATAACCAGAATCTAGACAATTCTGTGGCAAACAAATTTAACCGACATTTCTTAAACACACAATCTAGGTGTTATATGCTTTACAAGCATTATTTCATTTGATCTGCACAGTAACTATGTGATGCAGGGGTCATTATTATAGTCTTATTTTACAGTGGAAGGTCTGAGGCTCAGATCGTGGAAGAGCCAGAACCTGACGCATGTCTGTTTAACTCCAAAGACTAGGCTCTTCATCATGACTACTAAACCCTCTTTACTGGGGAAATGGACATGGCTGGTTGGCTAAAGTGTAGATTTGGTCCCCACTGGTGTCAACTTCACTGCAAACACTGACTGTGAACACATGTCTCAGCCTTGATAGCTGTCTCCTGAGAGAATAAAGAACCAGGAGAGACTCGGGAGATAGCTTAGTAGAAATATGAAAAATGCAATTCTATCTATCTATCTATCTATCTATCTATCTATCTAGGTTAAGAGGGCAACTTCAAACAAAAGAAATATAGTGTATACCTGGGGAAAAAAAGTCTCTTCTTCTCCAAGTAATCATTCAGCCCCCTCTGGATGTCATCCAACAGAAGGTTAGCTTCTTGAAGCTTCTCATTCATCCGGGGCTGGTCTGCTGCCATCAGAACCCTGGCATCTTTCACCTAAGTCCAATCAAGACAGGTGAAATCACCATGGGTTTCGCCTCTGACATCAGTATCAGTATCCCAGGTTCTGAGATAAATCACTGTAAAGAGTGTGTAAACAGTTCATCAACTCATGACCCTCTCTGTTCAGTTAACTGTCTTCTCAACACACAGGGAAGAATTCGTGGCATTCATATAACATGACACTTTTTCTCTGACCATGGTTGATGAGGCCAGGGTCAGAACTTGAAACAAACAGAATCAGTTATATATTAACGTTGGGAATTTGGGATCCAGATGCGGACATTCTAAACGAGTCTGGGCTATATACCGTTGGATGAAGGGAGTTTGGGGCTGAGTGAGAGTCGTCTTTTCCCATGTGACCAAGTGGCAGAGCAGAGATTAAAGCAGACATGGAAAAAGGAGCAAGGATTAGAGGCATGGAAAGAGCCTGGTATGTTTCTGGGTTCTAGATCCATCGTTGGTGAGGCATGGCTGCATTTTTTGCTCTGGGGTTCCATTCACTAAATTTTTTGTTGAGTGACTTTGAGTGGTTTTATATTACTTTCTATTCACTAGTATAGAGTTGGCCGGGACAGTGCCTTTTGAGAATTGGTTCGACTGGCTGGGAAAATATCAATTCCTACTTAGTACACTCCTTTAGAAGGAGCTCTGGTAGCGTAGTGGTTATGAGTCAGACTGCGAATCTCACAGCCAGCAATTCAAAAATACCAGCCATTCTGTGGGAGAAAGATGAGGCTTTCTGCTCCTGTAAAGATTTATAGCCTCGGAAACCCTCCATAGGGTCACTATGAGTCAGAACCGACTCCACGGCACATAACTACCACCACCACCATACTCCTTTAAACAAGCAGGACAGACACGTTCCCTTGAGGCAAATTCTTCATCAGTATGCACCAATTTGAGCACACTTTACTTAAACAAAAGGAAGAAAGATACGAACTTCTCAATAAATACCACTGTCTGGCTTAGACATATGTCTGTATACACTGTCTGTCATCCTTCAAGACTTGGTTCCAGTGCCACCCCATTTGGAGACCTTCCTTGATGCTCCCAGGCAACTAAATCACTCTTCTGGATTCTAAAAACTGTTTGTGATAAATTCTATTACAGCTCTTACTTATTTGTGTCTGTCTCTCTGACAAGACAGTGAATTCTATGAAGACAAGTAATATTTTCAGTTTTAAATATTTTCTGACTCCTACATAAAGGAGTCCTGGTGTGGTGCTGTAGGATACGCACTAGACTACAAGGTCAGTTTGAACCACAGGGTTGGTGGTTCAAACTCACCAACCACTCTTTGGAAACTCTCTATATAGGGTCGCGATGAGTCAGAATCGATTTGATGGCACTTAACAAAACAACAACATGAGTCAGTACCAACTCAACAGCACTTAACAACAATAAAACAACAATCAAAGCTTGGACTCCTGGTGTTTAGCTGTAGGATAAGCACTGGACTGCTAACCTCAAGGTTGGTCTTTCAAACCCACCAGCTGTTCCTCAGAAACCCTACGCAGGGTCACTATGAGTTGGAACTGACTTGACGGCATATAACAACAACAAACAGAAAAAGCTTGGGTCATCCTGCTATTGCTGGTAAGTGCCGTTGACTCTGTTCTGACCCATAGCGACCCTTATAGTTTCCAAGGAGTAGCTGGTGAGCTTGAACACTGACCTTGCAGTTCAAATCGCCTTTACAGTCCAGCACATTAACCCGCAGGTCACACCAGGACTCCTAGTCATTCTGTTGTTGTTGCTAAGTGTTGTGAGTCGGTTCCGACTCATAGCGACCCTGCACAGGGTTTTCAAGGTTGTAAATCTTTACAGGAGCAGAAAGCCTCATCTTTCTCCCATGGAACCGCTGGTAGTTTCGAACTTCTGACCTTGCAGTTCACAGCCCAATTCGTAACCACTACCAGAACTCCTACTGAATAAACATTTGTTGAATGTGAGTAACTATTTGGCTTCTATAAGGATCTCCAGTCTATAAAGGCACTATTGCATTACTCCATAACAAATCTTTCTACCTCATTAGAAATGATTACTAAATAATACGAACCATTAATAGTTACTTCTAGGGAGGAGGGATTTCTTCAGTTTTTAATAGCTTCAATTTTTAATAGCAATGATAACTTTTGAAATTAGAAAAAGAGAAAAATATCAAATTGGCAAATATATCCAGTTTATATCAAAGTTTCAAGCTGCAAAGTACAATGAGGAACATCTGTTTGGTGATCCCCATTTTCTCTGGTGAGCTTTGCTAGGGATAAGAACTCACCGCTTGGGACATGATGGACTTCCAGTAACTATCAACGATGGCGAATTTCCTGCCCTCTTCTGGCATCTGGGCTATGATGTCCTCTGAACTGAAGATAGGTTCTAGATACAGCCAGGTGGCTTGGCACTTCAACCAGGCATCCAAAATGTCTTGCACACGCACTAACTTTTCTTCCCATTTCTGTGAATATAGCATTTCATATCTCAGTCAATAACTTGCCACTTTGCACTGCAGGCCCATGGACTGAGCAAATGGATGGATGGGCTCATTTGCTTATTCACCCATGTGACAAACACTGATTGAGGGCCGTCTATATTTTTGGTCATTACTGTAGGCACTGTAGATACAGCAATGAATAAAACAAGCAAGAGTCCTTGTTTCCATAGAATTTACTTTCTAGTGGAACAATAATAATAGTAGTTATAAACACTGTGTTCCAGGGTCCCGTTCTGAGTGTTTTATAGATGTGAAACCAATTTAATCTTCATGACAACCTTACGAGGTAGGTATTATTACAAACCTTACTTCATGTATGCAGAAACTAACATGCAACATTTCAGATGCCTTGCCTATGGTTACACACCAATTATGTGTCAGAACCAGACTCTGAACCCAGTAAGTCTGCCTCTGAGTTTGCACTCTAAGTTTATACAGTTGCTCACACACAGTAATTCAAGCGGCCAGAATCTCTCCTTTCATGCAGTTTACATTTGGGATTACCATAGCTCACAAGAGGCTAATATAATTTCAAATGTATTTTTCATTTGGTTCATTGATGCATCTCATCTTCTCTTTGGGCAGACTGTTGCAAAGGCTTACAGGCCATCACTTAGTTGGAGGGTTCTTGCTTTTAGTCTTGTGCTAACATTTTTTTTTTTTTTCCAATCAGAAAGTGAATTTTCTTGTTAATTGAACTTTAAAAGCTTCAATCTCCTCTAAGAAATCTAGGATTAATGTCGGTTTGTTGTTGTTAAGTGCTAATGGGAGGTCACAAAATACTCAATCTTATTTCCTCTTACCCGGCATTCTGTTTCTATTGGTTTGATGAATGGCGAGCCGCACATGGTCTGAATCTTTATCACGTGATCGTCTAGTAGCAGTTGGATGTCATCAACTGCACACAAGATGTTTGTATCCTGCAAACAAAGATGGCCAGTCCCATGAGAATCATGATATTGATGGCAAAGGTCTCACAGCTCAGACCTCTACCCCAGTGAGACAGGAATTTGTCTTACAGGAGATGGAATTGGTTTTCTTCCTTGAGATGTTCTTAAAGATACTTATTTTCCACTTCCTTTGCAGGAATCCAGTATGGAATAAGCTCAGATACCGTCGGGATGCGGGTACTGCCCCTCTGCCTGCTTGCTTCCTAGCTTTAACTCAGCTGATAACCCCTGACTGGTGAGGCCTAGGTCTCTGGTTCCCAAACTGTGTGCCAAGGTCCCTCAGGGCACTGAAGTAAATGCATAGTAAATCACTGTGACTACATAAAAATAAAATTAAAATGCTATTTTAAATTTCAATTGATGTGGTGGTGGTGTTATTTCCAGACAGCTGCTAAATTGGTAGGACATGAATACTTTAAGCTGTTTGAACCTAATTCATAAATGAAGCTGTTGTTGTTGTTGTTAAGTGCCGTTGAGTCGGTTCCGACCCATAGCGACCCTGTACAGGGTTTCCGAGGGTGTAAATCTTTACAGGAGTAGAAAGCCTCATCTTTCTCCCGCAGAGTGGCTGGCATTTTCGAACCGCTGACCTTAAGGTTCGCAACCTGATTCGTAACCACTACGCTACCAGAGCTCCTTGGTAATGAAGCTGTTAGGTAGTTCTTTTGGCCTAGGGGCACCATGAAAAAAGTACTTAGACACAAAAGGTATCAAGAAGTGAGAAAGTTTGATAATCTCCGCCTTATATATTTACTGTGATGCAGTGGTGAAGCACTTGGCTGCTAACCAAAAGGTCAGAGGTTCAAACCCACCTCTGCTTACAACCCTCCCATTAGCTCAGCAGGAAATAAGAACCAGTGACCTGCTCCAATAAAGACAACAGCCTAAGAAGCCCAATGGGGCAGTCCAACTCTGTTCTATAGGGCCATATGCGTCAGAATTGACTCAGTGGCACACAACAACTGCTATGCTTTGAAGGTTAGCTCCTGTGGATAGAGCATTCCCCTCCTGGGCCCAAGAGGTAAGCAGTACCTTCACGCCTAAGGTTGGTGGGTAAGATGGGCCTAGGACATATTCTCTCATTAACGTTTTACCTGTAGCTTTGCATTGGGAGGCTTAGCAAATTGTTAATAAAGCAGTATCTTGATTCCAATTTTGCTTTTGATCCTTGTCAGTAGCTACCCCAATTTGAAACTCTTAGGATCAGACAGTTGTAAATGAGCTGTTTCCGGGTCCTCAAGCTTAACTCCTTATCTCAGCCCAACAGCCTCCAGCAGTCTCTAAACCAATCAGACTGTGGAACACCAAGCTTAAGGTAGATGAAACGTGGGCTTTGGGAAAGGCCTACTAACTCGCCCATGTGCTCTCCACTTACCGCCCTCATGTTCACTCATGCATAGCTTTTATCCAAGTGAAGTCGAGAAGTGCTGATTATTGAAACTGGAACAAGGAAGCAGTCACAAAATGATAACATGCAGCCAAGGAGGTAGGGGCAGAGGTGTTGGAGTCTTTAGGGTTTTGGTTCTTAACCCAGGATGCACATGAAATAAACCAGAGGTATAAAATACAAATATTCAGAAACTCTAGGGTGGAGGGACCAGGAACAGTTATCCAAAATTTCTTTAAAAGCTTCCTAGAAATGCTGATGTACAGCCAGAGTTGATAAGCATTGCTTCCAGAACTGATGGTCTGTAATATATCAATTCCAGCCTGTTGCCTTCATGGCTTGCAGCTCACCCAGAGCAGCAGAAGAAATACTTAGATTCACTGTACCAAAAAGAACTGGTCAATGTTCAGTCATTTCAAGAGGTACAGATGATTAAGAACGGATGGTGTATCAGAGGAAGAACTCATAGCTCACTGAAGTTTTAGGTGAGAAACAAGACTCTAGGAAATGACAGACTACAAATGGAAACGTTACAGGAAACTGATGCAGCACTGGAGGCACTCACTCATCTAAACCAAGAAATCTGGAAGATGGCCATCTGGCCAACGAACTGGAAGAGATCCATACTTGTGCCCAATATGTTCAATGAGTTCCACATTCCAAAAAAGGGTGATACAATGGAATATGGAAATCAAACAATATCATTAATATCACATGCAAGTAAAATTCTGCTAAAGACAATTCAAAAATGGTTGCAGCAGTACATTGACAGGGAGCTGCCAGAAATTCAAGTCAGATTCAGAAGGTGTGGAACTAGGCATGTATCACTGCTTATGTCAAACAGATCTTGGCTGAATGCAGAGAGTACCAGAAAGATGTTGACTTGTGCTTTATTGACTATGTAAAGGCATTTGACTGTGTGGATCATAACAAATTATGGAACCTGCACATAGGCCAAGAGGCAGTCATTCGAACAGAACAAGGGGATGTTGAATGGTTTAAAAACAGGAAGGTGTGTGTCAGGCTTGTATTCTTTCACCATACCTATTCAGTCTGTAGGCTGAGCAAATAATCAGAAAAGCTGGGTAATATGAAGAAGAACGTGGCATCAGAATTGGAGGATGAATCATTAACACCTACAATATGCAGATGATACAACCTTCTTGCTGGAAGTGAAGAGGGCTTGAAATACTTACTGCTTAATATAAAAGACTACAGCCTTCAGTATGGATTGCACCTGAATGTAAAGAAAACAAAAATCCACACAAATGGACCAATAAATAATATCATGATAGATGGAGAAAAGATTGAAGTTGTCAAAGAATTCATTGTGCTTAGATGCACAATTAATGTTCTTGAACGGAGCAGTCAAGAAATCAAGCAACCTGTTGCATTAGCCAAAGTCCTGGTGTGGCGCTGTGTGTAAAGCACCGGACTGCAAGGTTGGTTTGAACCACAAGGTCAGCAGTACAAACTCATCAACCACTCCTTGAAAATCCTATACAGGGTTGCTATGAGTCAGAACCGACTCAAAGGCACTTAACAACAATAACAACAATTGCATTAGCCAAATCTGTTACACAAGAGCTCTTTAAAGTGTTAAAGAGCAAAGAGATTAGTTTGAGGACTAAGGCACACCTGTCTCAAGCCATGGTCTTTTCAATCGCCTCATATGTAAGATCTATCTGGAAGTACAATGCTGACTGTGATAGGATAATTCCATATGTCTACTAAACAGACCAGTTTATACCACTATTTTAAAAATTTACTCACCAATCACTAAAGCCAGTGATGATAAAGAATTCTACCAATTTCTTCATTCTAAACTGATCAAGTATGCAATCAAGATGCTTCAGTAATTACAGCAAGCATGCAATCAAGATGCATCAGTGATTGAAGAGTGAACGTTGGAAACAAAGAACAAGGATCAGCAGTTGGAAAATAAAGTTTTGGTGATGGAAACTATGCTGGAGTTCACATTATAAAATTTTGCAACATCAATGACTTTACATTCACTACAAATACTTTTTCCCCAACTTAAAAAGTAACTATACATGTGGACCTCAGCAGATGGAATGCACAGGAATCAAACTGACTACATCTATGGGGAGAGATGAAAGAGAAGCTCAGTATCATCAACCAAAACAAGACCAGGGGCCAACTAAGGAACAGACTATTAATTGCTCATATGCAAGTTCAGGATGAAGTGGAAGAAAAATAAATAAAACAAGTACACTAGAGCCAAAATACAACCTTGAATATATCCCACCTAAACTTAGAAATAATCTCTAGAACAGATTTGATGCATTAGACACTAATGACTGAAAACCGGAAGAGTTGGGGGATGATGACACCCAAAACACCGTACATGTATAAAAAACAAAAGGTCATTAAGAAAACAGGGAAGAAATAAATGACCAAATGGATGTCATAAAAGACTCTTAAACTTGTTCTTGAGTATAGAGGAGCTAAAGAACTTGAAGAAATGAGGATGTAAAAGGACAGAACATTTCAAAGGTCAACTTGAGAAGACAAAAAGAAAATAATATAATAGAATGTGCAAAGACTTGGAGTTAAAAAACCAAAGGGAAGAACAAGTTCAGCATTTCTAAAGCTGAAAGAACTGTAACAACAACAAAAAAATACAAGCCTCAAGTTGTAATATTGAATTCTATGGGCAAACTATTGAAGGATGCAGAAAGCATCAGAAGAAGATGGAAGGAATACAAAGAGTCTCTGTACCAAAAAGAATTGGTTGATGTTCAACCATTTCAAGAGGTAGCATATAATTGAGAACTATGGTATTAAAGAAAAAAGTCCAGGCTGTAGTGAAGGCACTGGCAAAAAAACAAGGCTGTAGGAATATACGTAATACAAGTTGATATGCCTCAACAAACTGAGACAGACAGTGCTGGAAATGTCATTTAATGAAATTTGGAAGACAGCTACCTGGCCAACCAATTGGAAGAGAGCCATATTTGTGCACATTCTAAAGCGAGGTGACCCAACAGAATGTGGAAATCATCAAACAGTGGCATTAATATCATACACAAGTAAATTTTTGCTGAAGACAATTCAAAAGCAATTGCAGTAGTACATTAACAAAAATCAATGCAGAAGAATCAATGAATTTGAATTACGGTGTTGGAAAGGAATATTGGAAATACCATGGACTACCAAAAGAACAAACAAATCTATCAGAATGAGCTTTAGAAGCGAAGATGACAAGACTTTGTCTCTCATACTTTGGACATATTGTCAGGAGGGACCAGGTCCTGGAGAAGGACATCATGCTTGGAACAACAGAGGGTCAGCAAAAATGAGGAAGATCCCAATGAGCTATATTACAACAGGGGCAGCATCAATGAGCTCAAACCTACCAACTGTGTGTATGGCGCAGGGTCAGGCAGTGTTTCATGCTGCTGTGCATAGGGCAGCTATGAATCACAACTGATTTGGAGGCACTCAACAACAACAATAACAGAGCAACAAACACCCTTTTGTTTCTTGCTCACAAGAGCAAGCTGGACCCCAGATATAGCTGAATAATACACCCTTCTGGTTTTTCACCTTCACATACCCTGCACAAACATTTCTCTGCAAATGCCAGTGAAAAGGATTAAGTCAACCATCCAATTACCACTGAGTCAATTCTGACTCAGGGCCACCTCATGGGTGCTGCAAACAGCACACTTGGCTGCTAACCAAAAAGTTGGAGGCTCAAGCCCACCCAGTAGTGCCCTGAAGAAAGGCCTGGTTATCCACTTCTAAAAAGTCAGTCATCAAACCCCCTACGGAGCCTAGTTCTACTCTGACACACATGGAGATGCCAAGAAGCCATTGTCCCTGATTCAATGCCAAGTCACAGCAACCCTACAGGACAAGACAGAACTGCCCTGTAGCGTTTTCAAGGCTGTAAATCTTTATAGAAGCCTACTGACACATCTTTCTCGTGCAGAATTAAGTCTAAACCTTTGAAATTCAAAGAGAGGTCTACAGACCACAGCTACATCACTTGTTAGAAATGCAAACGTCAGGCCCTACAAACACCTGCTGAATCAGAACCTACAGTTTAACAAGATCCCCCACGGATTGTTGCGTATATGATCGTTTGAGAAATGCTAGCCTAGGCCCTTGTCCATCTAGTTGTGCTTCGGTGGCACTGACTGGGAGATCCTTCCTGAGAAACACCCAGTGCCACTGAAGTGATGTAAACTCATAAAGACCTGATAAAACAGACTAGAACTGCCTCCGGACGCTCTCCAAGACTGTAAATCTTCACAGTAGCTGATAGCTTCCTCTTTCTCCTGTGAGGGGCTGGTGGGTTTGAACCACCAACTTTGAGGTTGGCAGCCTAGTACTTAATCCACAGCACCACCAGGAATCCTTGAACCCTTCTTATTGTTAAGTGCTGTTAAGTTGTTTCCAGTTCCAACTCTTGAACCCTCCTTGGGAGATGTTAATTCAGGAGGCCAGCTTGGTACTTCAGTGGGAAAAGTTTTCTGCTCTGGATCAAAAGGCCTTTCTGATGTGAAAAGGAGGGTAAGGGCAGACAGGAGGAAAGAATTTAGATGCTGAGGATTCGATTCCCATTGCTATTCTAAATGAAATCACCTCTGTAACAGAGCACATAAAAAACAGGGCTGCTTTCTTGGGGGCAGACAGTTGGATTCAGACTCACAGTGTCTCTGTATTTCACAAAATTGAACATCATGTTAACCCAGTCCAACTTCATTCTCTCCAAGTTTTTCTCCATAGAATGTTCTTTACTGGCGGCTGCACCAATGGGCTCCAGTCTACGGAGAAAATACAACAGCATCAGCAAGGAGAGGAGCAGAGAAAACAAGTCAAAGGAGGCGTTTCAGCTCAGATTTCAGGGCAACTCTAAAAGCCCTTTGCTGTGCCAGAATGTTTACTATTCCAATCTAAGGTTCGCCAGCCACCACCAAGCTGGGTTTGCAAGGTTTCCTCACCCTCAGCCTATTGACATGTTGGGCTGGGTAATTTTTTGTTATTGGAGGGGCTTGAGGTATTGAGAGGTGCCCATAGCAGACCTCATCTCTCAATACTTCAAGACCTTCCAATTCCTTATCCCCTTTTCCTCAAACCTCCATCCTCCAGCTCCAACAGACATGGTGGAAAGTCACCCCCAGCTGAGACCCACTGTTTTAAAGTCACTAAAACAAGACTTTTTCCCCAGTTTTGTTTACTCCTTACTTGTACAGCCCACCTTCTGGACTCGTATTCATTCATATCTTTAACATATGTTAACGTTCTTAATTTAATTTTTGGTACAAATATACACGGCAAAACCTGATTCCGTTCCAGTCTCTAGATGTAACCATCAGTGAGGCTAGTTACTGTCTTCACATTGTGTCAACATTTCCCTTGTTTCTACTCTAGCTGTTTCATTTCCAGTTACTTAATCTCCCTACCATGCCCCCGCCTCCTTCTCATCTATGTGTTACAGTCGCTACTGACCCTTACTTTTTAAATAAGAAATCCAATACTCAAGGGAGACAAGCTTTGGACTCAACTGTTACTTTGTTTCAAGGTGACTTCAGTGGGTAGTTTCAACTCAAGGCTTGAAGAGGAACTCAGGACCGTCATCTCAGTGTTCCTGCAGCCTCAACAGGTCCACTAAGCCTGGATTCTTTAAGAATTTGAAGTTCTGTTGCATATTTTCCTCTCTTCTTTTCAGATTAATCTAGTGTGTTCTTAACCAGAACACTCACTTGTTGTTGCTGTTGTTAGATGCCATCAAGTCAGTACCGACTCATAGTGACCTTATGCACAGCAGAATGAACCACTGCCCGATCCTGGGCCAACGTCACTACTGTTGCCACGCTTGAGTCCATCGATGCTGCCACTTGGCCAACATTCACTGGGTATATATAAATACCTGCGTATGTCAGGTCTCTTAGGTCCCTAGGATATAATTCCACCTAGGAGTGGGAATTTCTGTGTCATCTGGAAGCTCTGCTTTGAGTTTTTTAAGGAACTACCAGATTGTTTTCCATGTCTGTACCGTTTTGTATTCCTACCAGCAGTAGGGTTCCAATTTTTCCACATCCCTCCAGCACTTGTTACTTTCTGGGTGTGTGTGTGTGTGTGTGTGTGTGTGTGTGTGTGTTTTAACCTTAGCCATTCTAACAAGAATAAAATGATATCTCATTGTGGTTTTGACATGCATGTCTTTGATGGTTAGCATTTTTTCATGTCTGTGGGCCATATGCATTTCCTCTTTGGTAAAGTATCTGTGCAGGTCCTTTAGCCCAGTTTCGGATTGGGTTATTTGTCTTTTTGTGGTTAAGTTGAAGAAAGTTTCTATCATTATTCTAGATGCTAGATTCTTATCTGTTATATCATTCCCAAAGATTTTCCCCCCAATCTGTAGGTTGTCTCTTTACTCTTTGAATAAAGTCTTTTGATGAACATAAGTAAATGCAGATAGCAGCATGCACTAAAAGTGGGAGAGAAGTTTCCCACTAAACCCCAGAGGCAAAAAATGTAGGTAGAAAATATACGTCCTCCAGTCATGAGAAGGTTAAACTTTTACAAATCCATTGTCATCAAGTTCATGCCAACTCATAGCAACATTACAGAAAAGAGTAGGACTGCCCCATAGGGTTTCCAAGGCTGTATACATCTTTCTCCTGCAGAACAGCGAATGAATTAGAATTACCATCTTTTCATTGCTTTAACCAATGTGCCACTAGGACTTCTTTCAGAAAGCTTTAAGTTACCCTAAACTTCAAGGGAAAAATCAAACAACTGAATATGAGGCCAATCATATCATTGAGGGGATCTAAGAGCACTCGCATTTGGCACTATGGCATAAAGAACTGGATTGCAAGGTCAGTTTGAATCACAAGATCGACAGTTCAAACTCACCAGTCACTCCTTGGAAACCCTATCCGGGGTCGCTATGAGTCAGAATTGACTTGACTACACTTAACAACCATAGCACTAGAAGTGTAATGGTTAAAGCACTCAGCTGCTAACCAGAAGGTGGGTGGTTCCAACACACTAGCTGCTTCACAGGAGAGAGACAGCAGTCCATAAAGATTACAGCCTTGGTGACCCTATGGGGTGGTGGCTTTTGAGATTCACAGTGAGTTGGGATTGACAGCAAAAATGAATTTGGATTACAGATACTTTGAAACACACACACACACATACCAATTCCCAATGAAGAGAGAGGAGTCTTACTTTTCAATGAATTTGCCCAATCCAAATTCCAGCATATTTTGGAGACAAGTCGTCTCACTGGGCTTTATTTCACAGCCAACAATTTCACTGATCTGCAAAGGAAAGAGGAGAACGCTCATTGATCATCCAAGGTTGTCCAATGGAACCTCCTATGTTGAAAGAAATGTTCTATATGGACCAATATAGCAGTTGCTGTGGCTAGTGTAACTGTGGATTAGATATTTAAATTTCCTTTATTTTAATTAATTTAAACTCAGATGTACACAGATTCATGCCACTGTTGTATGCTGTAGAGCTGGACTCAGACAGAGTAACCCTAGAGGACAGATAAGGGCCTAAGCTATAGTCAAAAGGTGAAGACTCACAAGGAAAAGTCGCTGAAAACATCCATTAGTAATTGGAACATGGAATTTATGAGGCATGAATCTAGGGAAATTGGAAGTCATCAAAAATGAAATGTAATGCATAAGATCAATATCCGAGGCATTGCTGTTGTTGTTACGTGCCGTTGAAATTGGTCCTGACTCATAATGACCCTGAGTAAGGTTTCTGAGGAGCAGCTGGTGGGTTTGAACTGCTGACCTTGTGGTTCGCAGTCTAATGCTTATCCTACAATGCCACACCAGATGTCCAGCCTAGGATAAAATGGTTATTGACAATTTTGAATTGGACAATCATATGATCTTCTATGCCAGGAATGACAAATTGAAGACGAATTATGATGAAGTGTGGCATTCATCATTAAAAAAATAGACTTTCCAGAATATCTTATCACTGAATGCTGTCAGTGAGAGGGTAACATTCACACACCTACAAAGTAGACCAGTTAATACGACCAACAACTTAGTCATTGCAAATACCATTTTTCAGAGACTAACAGTCACCATATATGTGGTCCTTGCCAGAAGGAATATACAGAAATCAAATTAATTACATCTGTAGAAAGAGACAATGGAGAAACTCAGTATCATCAGTCAGCACTAGACCAGGTGTTGGCTACAAAACAGACCCTCAGTTGCTCATAAGCAAATTCAAGTTGAAGCTGAAGAAAATGGAAACAAGTCCACAAGAGACAAAGTACCACCCTGGGTATATCCCAACTGAATTCAGAAATACAACAGATTTGAAGCATTAAAAATTAATGACAAAAGATCAGATAAGTCATGGAATGACATTAAGGACATCATATATCTAAGAAATCAGTAGGTCTTTAAAAGACAGGAGAGAAAGAAAAGACCAAAGTGGACATCAGAAGAGATTTTGAGACTTAGTAGATAAGCTAAAATACTGCGAGAAATTAGGAAGTAAAATAGCTGAGCAGAAAATCTCAAAGGACAGGTTGAGAAGAAAAAGTATTATAATGAAATATGCCAAGACCTGGGGTTAGAAAACCAAAAGGGAAGAATATGCTCACATTTCTCAAGCTGAAAGGAGTGAAAAAAAAAAAAAAAATTCAATCTTCAAATTGCAATACTGAAGGATCCACAGGGGCAGACTATGGAACAGATTATCAATTGCACATATGCAAATTCAGGCTGAAGCTGAAGAAAATTAAAACAAGTTCACAAGAATCAAAATACGACCTTGAACATAGCCCACCTGAATTTAGAGATCATTTCAAGAACAGATGTGATGCATTAGACACTAAAGATCCCACAGTCAGAGTTGTGGGATCAGCATACAGGGAGAAAACAAAAGGTCATTAAAAAGACAAGAAAGAAGGAAAAGACCAAAATGGATGTCAGAAGAGACTCTGAAACTTGTTCTCCAGAGTAGAGACGCTAAAGCCAATGAAAAGACGAGGTAAAAGAGCTGAGCAGAAAATTTCAAAGGGCAGCTCAAGAGAACAAAGTCAAGTACTAGAATGAAATGTACAAAGACCTGGAGTTAGAAAACTGAAAGGAAGAACATGCTCAACATTTATCAAGCTGAAAGAACTAAAGGAAAAACTCACACCTCAACTTGAAATATTGAAGGATTCTATGTACAAAATGGTGAATGGTGTAGAAAACATCAAAGGAAGCTGTAAAGAATATGCAATGTCACTATACCAAAAAGAAATGGTCAATGTTCAATCATTTCAAGAGGTAGCTTATGATCAAGAGGCAATGATACTGAAGGGAGAAGTCCAAGGTGCACTGAATGTATTGGCAAAAAACAAGGCTCTGGGAATTGATGGAATACAAATTGAAATCTTTCAACAAACCTGAGGCAGTACTGGAGGCACTCACTCATCTACGCCAAGAAATTTGGAAGACAGCAACCTGGTCAACTGATTGAAAGAGACCCATATATGTGTTCAGTCAAAAGAGAGGTGACCCAGCGAAATATGGAAATCACAGGGCAATAGCATTAATATGGCATGCAAGCAACATTTTGCTAAAGATAATATAAAAAAGGCTGCAGCGATACATTGACAGATGCTACCAGAGGTTCAGGGTGAATTCAGATGGAGATATGGAACAAGGGATATCATTACTGATGTCAGATGGATCTCGGCTGAAAGCAGAGACTATCAGAAAGATGTTTACTTGTGCTTTATTGACTACACAAAAGCTATGGATAATATTGCAGGCAATGTGTATACTGAAACACTTAATTCTACTTATGAGGAACCTGTACATAGACCAAGAGGCAGTCATTTGAACAGAACAAGGAGACACTGAATGGTTTAAAATCAGAAAAGGTGTGTGCCAGGGTTGTATTCTTTCACCATACTTAATCTGTATGCTGAACAATTAATTAGTCCAAGAAACTGGACTATATGAAGAAGAACATTGCATCAGGATTGGAGGAAGACTCATTACTAACCTGTGATATGCAAATGATACAACCTTGCTTGCTGAAAGTGAAGAGGACTTCAATTACTTACTGATGAAGATCAAAGACCACAGTCTTCGGTATGGGTTGTACCTCAACATAAAGAAAACAAAAATCTTCACAACTGGACCAATAAATAACATCAAGATAAATAGAGAAAAGATTGAGGTTGTCAAAGACTTAATTTTGCTCAGAGCAACCATCAACACTTATGGAAGCAGCAGTCAAGAAATTAAACGATGTATGTATGCATTAGGCAAATCTGCTGCACAAGACCTCTTTAATGTGTTAAAGAGTAAAGATGTAAGTTTGAGGACTAAGTTGTGCCTGGCCCAAAGGATGGTATTTTCAATAGTCTCATATGCATGTGAAAGTTGGATAGTCAATAAGACCATAGAAGAATTGGTACATTTGTATTATGGTGTTGGAGGAGAATATTAAAAGCACCGTGGACTGCCGGAAGAACAAACAAATCTGTGTTGGAAGAAGTACAGCCAAAATGTTCCTTAGAAGCCAGTATGGCCAAACTTCACCTCTCAAACTTCACACATATTATCAGGAGGGACCAGTCCCTGGAGAAAGATATCATGCTTGGTAAAGTGGAGGGAGACCCCCAACCAGATGGACTGGCACAGTGACAGCAGCAATGGGCTCAAATAGAGCAATGACTGTGAGTTGGTACAGGATCAGGAAGTATTTTGTTTTGTTGTCCACAGGGTAGCTATGTGTCATTATCGACTTGATGGCTCCTAACAACAACAACAGGCAAAAAAATGATGCAGGAAGCTAAAGTACGCGCCATTGATGAGGACACTTGATAGTGCTATTTCATGAAGGAACCTATCAAAGACCCTCTGTCTACATAGTCACCCTAATCCCCCCAAACAGCTCAAAGTTCTAGTTAGGCTGTGCCTAAAAACAGAGGCACCCACCGTATGATCATCAAGGAAGAGCAGTAACCCCGTGCAGTCCTCTCTGTAGTGGCATTTCCAACCAAAGTTGACCAGATGACCTTTTTCTTTAAATTCCTATATATTTCCCTTAGATTCTTTGGTCCCAAGACTGTCTGGGAAAGTGGAAGTAATTCCTCTCTACAGATAAATCTTTTTATCTCCCATGTTATCTCTGCCTTGAAGAGAGATCAAAATTCTTCTAGCAACTGAGCTAGGTGTTCCATTCCCTTGAAGGCAAAATTTCAGAGTGGGCCCTTATCGATAGAATGTTCCCAATCTTGTTTTCATTTCCAAGACCGGGAATTCCAGGCTAAGTCAGAAAGGAATTTGCCTCATGCAAAGCTAATCTCATCTTTCCCTTGCAGAGGAACACCCTGCAAAGCCATCGTTAGCCCTGGAGTGTGGCACTTCTTTTAGACATACAGTGAGGTTTCTTTTTTCAGCTTGGTATTCACACCACACTTAAAACCCTCACACTTGGTTACTTATAAAAATCCCACTATTTTTAGAGAATATTTGTTTTTCTAATTATAGACTCCCAAGGGCTGAAAGACAAGTAAAAAAAAAAAAAAAAAAAAGATTTCTGAACACAGTCTGTTTGCTGATGAGACTCCACACTGAAGTCAGCCTAAGCAGGAATCATCTGGCACAGCCAGCAGCCTCTTTTGTGTATTCTTGTTATTGTTAAGTGCCATTAAGTTGGTTCTGACTCATAGCGATCCTGTGTAGGGTTGCCTAGATCAAGAAATAAATCAAGGGCCCTCCAGCTGTAACTCAACACCCTGTTGTTCTTGGGACCCACGGCAGTAATTTACTTGGGAAAGCAGACAAGGTGACCAGTACACAATCACCAGCAAAGGGGTTCTCAAAGAAGAGAGTCAACCTGTTGGTGCAGAGAGGCTAGCAGTTAAACCCATATCTCATCCACTCCATCCATTCGCTTCTTTCAAAGACCACCTGCCATTTCCCATTACTACTCCCTTGAACTCAGTTTCTCGTAGATTAGGGACTGTTTCCCGCCTTCCAAGGAGATAGCACAGCCAGGGGTGGGGTAAGGGATGGGCTGGCTAGGGCTGGGCAGTAACAGGCACCTGTTGCCAATGCCGCTCTTTCATTCCAGGGTTGCAGGAGATGTTCAGAATTGGAATGTTCTGCTTGAACTTATCAATCTTGATTTTCACACTCTCTGCTAAGCGCTTGGGTGCTGGCACATCGACTAAGGTCTTGGTCAGTTTATATACTGTCCTCCACATAGACCCGATTTCCTCTGTGATTTCCTCAGCATTCAGTAAATAAAGGGGTCCTGAAAGAGAAAACACGGGATGAGGAAAGGGTCAAATCATAAAGCCGATGTTAGTCATGTTATCTCTAACTCCCTGAACTTAAAATTATGCTGATGGTGTGGCGTATTGGGGAACTCTGCTGGTTAAGGATTATGGCCCTCATAGTCAAATGTCTCTATTCTGTGATATATTGTAAAGGGGCGCTGTGGGCTAAAGTGCTAGACAGCTAGGTTGGTTTCAACTGCAAGGTCGATAGTTCAAGCTCACCAGTTGCTCCTTGGAACCCTAGAACAGGGCCGCTATGAGTTGGAACTGACTCAACAGCACTTAACAACAACAACATGCCTGTGATTATTGTTGTTAAATGCTGTCGATTTGGTTCCGACTCATAGCGACCCTGTCTAGGGTTTCCAAGGAGCGGCTGGTGAACTTGAGCTACCAACTTTGAGGTTCAAACTGACCTTGTAAGTCCAACACATTATACCTACAGCACCACACCAGGATTCCAATGTTTGTTAGAAATGATTTGAAAATAAAAATGACAAGTGATTTTTTTAAAAGTGCTTCAGTACCTTAACTCCCTTACCTTCTTTTTTCTCTCATAGGGAACATGTAGACTTGCATTTCACAGTCAAGCACAGTCTCTCTGCTGTTTCTTCTCCTTGGATATTTCAAATTTGTATTAAATCTCACATCAGGATGTTTCTATTTTACTACAAAATATTTTTCTTTCAGGGCTTCTAAGCCCATACATAACTTCATTCATTTACTATGTTTGATCAATACAACATTTTTGTTGAGTAACCAAAACACTAAATTTAGGAAGAAAATAGAGTGCCTCCCAAGAGCCAGAAACTACTGTAGATGCTGAATAAGAGTGAGGAGATTTGATTAAACTATCACAGTGGTTTCACAAGCAGGAAGAGTTAATTTGGCAAGGCTTTTGAGACTGAGCCACAAAAGAGCAAAATTACTTGTCCAGGTTACTTGCAATTAGCAGGGTAAAAGGAAACAAACACTAATTCTCAATGTGAAGCAATTTCTCTAGGTGCCAACTGTCTGGAGATAGTGTAGGATGACTATGCATACAATATGAGGGAAGTATGTGGAATGATTATAGAACCTTAGGAACTTCTGTTTGAAATGAAGGAATGAATGTCTATTCATACCCCTAACTTCATAGCTCAGAGCAGAGACTACATTCTAACTCTGACCTTAAAAGGACGAGGCATCAGGTGGCAATTTTTACGGCAGCTACATAGATATGACAGCACATAACACCTATAACAACAACAATGTAGATAGAGCCCGTTCAGCCTGTGATTCAATATGGAGGCTGAAGGAAATAATCGGTGAGGTTCTGTCCAGCTCGGATGCTCTAGAACTCTAAGCTGCACGGGTCAGCAAAGCCAGCTCTCTGGCTAAGTGCCTGAAGACACCCCACTCCACAAGTGAGCCTCTTGTCCAAAGGCACTCAGTTTTACTTGCTCCATGGGCCAGGAAGCCCACCACTCTGGCTCTTGGTTCTGCTACTATTGCACATTCCTCTGGAGTTCTGGTGTGGTATTGTGGATTAATGCACTGGACTGCAAGGCTGGTTTGAATCGCAAGGTCCAAGATTCACTCACGCTCATCAGCCGCTCCTTGGAAACCCTACACAGGGTTGTCATGAGTTAGAACTGACTCGATGGCACTTAACAACAACAACAATCATTCCTCTGGTGTCACACCTTTCTGTCCCTGGGATGTAGAGTCTCAATGCGCAGAGATCTCTGGATCCAGAAGACATGTTCTACTCCTGGCTCTTCTTTGATGCTAGTGAGCTCCCCCCTCCTCCTCTTTCTGAGGTGGCTCATTTTAAAACCATGTTCGAGTCTGAAGTTTTCACAATCACAATGAGTCCTGTTAACAGTGATTCACAGCCGAATCATACCATCCTAGCAATACCTTTCCCCATTTTATCTTACTCAGACCCATCAGGAAAAAAAAGCTGTTTGGTGGGAGTTGCAGAAACTATGGGTAAAAGAGCCATGTTGTTGTTGTTGTCAGGTGCCATCAAGTCGGCATCGACTCATAGCAACCTTATGCATAGCAGAACAAAACAATGTCTGATCCTGGGCCAACCTCACTACTGTTGCCACACTTGAGTCCATCGATGCTGCCACCTGGCCAATCCATCTTGTTGGGGTCTTCCCATAGGGAATCATTTTACTGCCCTGCAGAGTCCATATATTTAACTGCATGTGTCTATTTTAACTTTCACCTTTATTGAAACTGGAGAAGGGTGCCATCCAAATATGAACCCCTAGGAGGAATTTATTTCTGTAAGATATTGTAGTGGTTTTCACACTTTAGCGTGCATCAGAATTGCTGATGTTATTGTTGTTGCTAAGTGTCATCAAGTTCTGACTCACAGTGATCCTTCTAAAGGTTTCTTTAGAGGAGGTGCAGTTAGTGAGTTTAAACAGCTGAACTGCTGATAGGGTTGCTAAAACTAATATTTTTATGAGGGTCTCAACCCTCATAGAGTTTCTAATTCCGTAGGTGTGGGGTGAGGGCTGAAGAGTTTGCATTTCCAACACATTCCTAAGGGATACTGATGTTGCTTGTCCTGGAACTGTACTCCGGAAACCAACAGCAAAAGAAAAGTAGAAGAGACAGTAGGAATCCCACGGCAAAACTCACAGTTTATACATGCAGAGGGATGGGTCACGGAAAGTAGGAGTACAGTCAAAGACAGCACCAACAACCAACTTGATGCCTTAATACAACACCACCAACAGAATATATATTCTTTTCAAAAGAACATGGAACATTCACTGTTAGACCATACCCCTGACCATATAACAAATCTTAGCACTTTTAAGAGAATTGAAATCATACAAAGTATTTCAATGACCACAGTGGAGTTAAACTAGAAATCAATTAAAGGCACTTACCAGGAAAATGTCCACACATTTGGAAATTTTAAAAATCATAGGTCAAAGGAAATCTTCAATTAAATTAGAAAATACTTTGAACAGATACAAAATTGTGGGGTGGAACAAAACTCAAAATCATAAAAGTAAAACAGGCTTACTGGTTAAAGAGAGACTGGTAGAACCTCAAGACTATGACCCTTGGTCACCCTTCATGTCTGGGACTCACCCATCCCAGTGGCCCAATTTTCAGTCAAACAATAAAACAGATACACAAGTGGAGCCAACACCACCAATGAGGTATGAACATCATAAATGGTCAACCACTTAAGACCTAAAGGGAAGCATTTACCCAAGGACAAAATTCAGAGGGGTTGCGAGAAAAGGAGGAATGGAAACAGGAAATGGGGAGGAAGTTGGATAATTGATGATACTTTGCTAAGGGATTGTAATCATTGAGATGAAAGGAAGTATATGATTTGCTGAGTGTAAAACTGACAATACACTCTGTAAAACTTCACTCAATCCAGAATAAAAAGTTTAAAAACAAAACTGTGTGATGTAACTTAACAAGGGAAAATTTATAACACAGAAAAGGAGAATGTTCTCAAATCAGTTATCTAAGTTTCCATCTTAAGAAGTTAGAAAAAGAAGCACAAAAACCAAACACAGAGCAAGGCCACAGAAGGAACTAATACGGAGAGGTAAAGTCACAGGTGCTGCAAAAAGAGAAAATAACAAGAGAAAAGTAAATGAAACCAAACGCTAGTTCTTTGAATTTAAAATTGACAAAGCTAAATTTTTTTTTTTATAAACTTTTAACAAGAATGACCAGACAAAAAGAGAAGACACAAATCATCAATATTAATAATAATAATAATTTTGAAAAGGTATCACATAAAAAACAAAAGGAATAGAAGCAAATACTGTTGAATGATGATGCATGGAGGCGATTGTAATCACTGCAATGAAGCAATGAGTGTAAAACTGATGTTCTCCCATGTAAACTATCACTCAATTCACAATAAAAACTTTAAAAAAAAAAGATATCACTATACAACCCTCAGGTATTTGTTTCAAGGTTAATAAGAATATAAGCACATAAATTAGAGCACTTAGGAAAAATAGAGCAATTCCCCTGAAAACCAAAAACTACTAAGATTCACTCAACATGAAAGGCCTTGGGTAGTTTAAACAATCTGCACTTGACTAGTAACCCAAAGGAGTCCTGGTGTGGCACTGTGGGTTAATGTGCCGGACTGCAAAGTCGGTTTGCCCTGCAAGGTCAGCAGTTCAAGCTCACCAGCTGCTCCTTGGAAACCCTATCCAAGGCCGCTATGGGTTGGAACTGACTCAACAGCACTTAACAACTACAACAAAGTAACCCAAAGGAGGGTGGTTTGAACCCACCAAGAGGCACCAGGGGAAAAACAAGCCGGTGACAGGATTTCATAAAGATTACAGTCAAGAAAACCCTCTGTGGTCTTCTAAGTCATAAATCAGAAACACAAGTCAAAAACAAAATTCACTCAAGATGAAACAGGTAACATGAATAGCTCTGTAACTACTGAAGGAATTAAATTCATAATTTCAAAGTTTCCAAAACACAAAACTCTGGGACTATTGCTGTGATGCTGGAGGCTATGGCATCAGTATTTGAAATACCAGCAGGGTCATTCATGGTGGGCAGGTTTTAGCCAAACTTCCCAAACAAAGAAAAACAAAGAAAGAGTGAAGGACAGCTTCTAAATATTTGGTGATGGTGCCTGTGTGCCACCAAGTCGGTTCCAATTGATCTTGACCCTGTATAGGGTTTTCAGAGGCTATAAATCCTTATAGGAACAGAAAGCCTCAGTTCATAATCCAAAACATTACCAGGGTTCCTTTTAGCCACTGAAAAATCTTATGAATCTCAGTAGAACATTGTCAGATACAGTACTAGAAGATGAAAACATTATGAATAGCACCAGAATATTGTCAGATATAGAAAATGAGCCCCTCAGGTTGGCAAGCACTCAAAATCCTCATAGTAGAGTTGATCATGATGACATGAACAGAGTAAGCTGACCATGATAACACGAACTGAGTAGAGTGACCATGATGACACGAACAGAGTTGACCATGAGACATGAATAGAGTAAGTTGACCATGATGACATGAATAGAGCAGGGTGACCACAAGACATGAATACAGTAAGGTGACCACGAGACGTGAATAGAGTAAGTTGACCAAGATGACATGAATAGAGTAAGTTTTTGGTACTTTCATTTGTTGTTGGGGCACAACTGAAAATGAGTAGAACCAGTTGTAAATATTCATTAACCATTAAGACATGAAATGTATGAAGTATTAATATAGGAAAATTAGAAAATGCAAAATTAAACCTTACCATAATGATCAATATTTAAGCATTAGTGAGCTGAAAAGGACAAGTATTGATCATTTGGATCTGAAAACCCTAGAGTTTACTATGCTAAGAACAACAACTGGAAGAAGAATGGCATTGCATTCAGTGTCAAAAAGAACATTTCAAAATCTATCTTGAAGTACAATGCTGTCTGTGAGAAGACCCATACATCTATAAAGAAGACCAGTTAATACCACTATTATTCAAATTTATGAACGAATCATCAAAGCCAGTGAATATGAATCTGACATTGATCAAACATGTAATCAAGATGCACTGGTAATTATCGATGACTGGAATGCGAAGGTCAGAAACAAAGAAGAAGGCTTAGTACTTGGAGAATATGGCCTTGGTGATAGAAATTATGTTGGAGATCACACAATAGAATTTTGCAAGACCAATGACTTCTTCATTGCAGGTACCTTTTTTAACAACATAAACGGTGATTATATAAAGGTACCTCACCAGATGGAATACACAGGAATCAAACTGACTACATCTGTGGCAAGAGATGATAGAAAAGCTCAAGATCATCAGCCAACACAAGGCCAAGGGCCAACTATGGAACAGACCAACCACTGCACACATGCAAGTTCAAGCTGAATATGAAGAAAATTAAAACAAATCACGAAAGCCAAAATATAACCTTGAATATATCTCACCTGAATATGAGACCATCTCAAGAACAGTGACTAAAGACTAGAAGAGTTGTAAGATAATATTAAGAACATCATCCATGTAGAAAGCAAAAGGACATTTAAAAGACAGACCAAAATGGATGTCAGAAGAGACTCTGAAACTTGTTCTCCAGAGTAGAGATACTAAAGCAAATAGATGAAAAGAGGTAGTAAAAGAAATGAACAGAAAATTTCATAGGGCAGTTTGAGAAGATAAAGTCAAGTATAATAATGAAACATGCAAAGACTTGGAAGGAATACACAGAGTCACTGTACCAAAAAGAAATGGCCGATACTCAACTGTTTCAAGAGACAGCATATGATCAAGAGCCAATGGTACAGAAGGGAGAAGTCCAGTGTGCACTGATGGCATTGGCAAAGTACAAGGCTCTGGAAGGGAACTGATGGACTACATATTGAAATGTTTCAACAAACTCATGCAGCACTTGTTGATAGGTGCCACTGAGTCGGTACCAACTCATAGCGACCCTATGCACAACAGAACAAAACACTGCCTGGTCTTGGGCCAACCTCACTATTGTTGCCATGCTTGAGTCCATTAATGCTGCCACTTTGCCAATCCATCTCGTTGGAGGTCTTCCTCTTTTGCACTGACCCTCCACCTTACCAAACATGATATCCTTCTATAGTGACTGGTCCCTCCTGACAATACGTCTGAAATAGAAGAGACAAAGTTTGGCCATCCTAGCCTCCAAGGAACACTCTGGCTGCACTTCTTCCAACATAGATTTGTTTGTTCTTTTGGCAGCCCATGGTACTTAGAATATTCTCCTTCAACATCATAAATCAAAGGCATCAATTCTTCTATGGTCTTCCTTATTCACTGTTCAGCTTTCGCATGCATATGAGGTTATTGAAAATACCATGGCTTGGGTCAGGTACACATTAGTCCTCAAGCTGACATCTTTGCTTTTCAACACTTTAAAAAGGTCTTGTGCAGCAGATTTGCCTAATGCAATACATCGTTTGATTTCTTGACTGCTGCTTCCATGAATGTTGATGGTTGTCTTTGACAACTTCAATCTTTTCTCCATTGATAAGAATGTTGTTTATTGGTCCAGTGGTGAGGATTTTTGTTGTCTTTACATTCAGATGTAATCCATACCAAAGGCTATGCTTTTTGATTTTCATCAGTATTTTAAGTCCTCACTTTCAGCAAGAAATGTTGTATTGTCTGCATATTGCAGGTTGTTAATGAGTCTTCTTTCAATCCTGATGTCATGTTTTTCTTCATATAATCCAGCTTGTCGTATTATTTGTTCAGCATACAGGTTGAATAAGTACGGTGAAAGAATACAACCCTGTCGCACACCTTTCTTAATTTTAAAACATTCAGTGTTCCCATGTTCTGTTCGAACAACTGCCTCTTGGTCCATGAGCACAATTAAGTGTTCCGGAATACTCATACTTCGCAATGTTGTCCATAGCTTGTCACGATCAACACAATCGAAAGCCTTTGTATAGTTAATAAAGCACTGATAAACATCTTTGTGATATTCTCTACTTTCAGCCAAGATCCATAGGACATCAGCAATGATATTGCTCGTTCCATGGTCTCTTCTGAATCTGGCTTGAACCTCGAAAGTTCTCTGTCAATGGGTGCTTGCTGCCATTTACTTTTAGTAAAACTTTACTTGCATGGGATATCAAAGAGATTGTCTGATGATTTCCACATTCTGTTGGGTCACCTCTCTTTGGAATGGGCACTTGGAAATTACCCTAGGTTCCTCCCTCTTTCTCATAAGCCCCTATATCAAATTAAGAATAATAACACAAAACAATCCCACTGCCTTCTAGTTGATTCTGATTCAGAGACTGTAAATCTTTATGAAACAGCCTTATCTTTCTCGAGCAGAGCGGCTAGTGGGTGTAAATTGCTAACTTTGCGGGTTGCAGATTCCCCTATCCACAACAAGTCAATCATAAAGCCCCATTGAATCTACCTCCTTAATGCTCTCTAGACTCCAGAGTCTGGAATAGCAGTAGACTTCTATGGGATCCAGCGCTTCCTGAAGGGGCACAATATGCACTGTTACCTTATCCTTCCACCGTCTGCCTCTCAGTCTAATTCATGGTTCTCATCATAGTGGTTGGTTGCTCTATTGTATTTTACCTTGGTAATAGGTCTGGTTCTTTGACTCCTATCTCTCTCATCAATATCACATCAGAAAATTATGATCAGAAAATTAGCTGTGGGCTAATGCGTCTGACTGCAAAGTCATTTAAATTGCAAGATCAGTGCTTCAAGCTCACCAGCTGCTCCTTGGAAACCCTATACAGGTTGCTATGGGTCAGAATCGACTTGATGGCACTTAAAAACAACAACAACAATCCAGAGTATCAGAATTTGGAAATGTCCAGCCAGAATCTGAAGTCCAAACCTCATTTCAGAACTGGCCGGGGAGACCACAGCATACCGTTCATCCATTCCTCTGACTTGGTGCTGAACTCGTAGGTCGTCACCCATAGTTGCTCGTAAGGCACTTTGTTGATCATCATGATTTGCAGAAGAGGAAAGGTACTCTTCTCTTTTTCCAACAACTCTTCCTCTTTATTGATCAACTGAAGGGCAAGAGGAAATGGTGATTATTGGGTGGGTGGGTCTTCTAAACCCTGGAAACCCTCCATGGCAAATTCCTCAGTATCTTATAAATCAAGTGGCGAAAGATGCTGAGTACATCTATATAGCGAAAGGTGAAAAGGGGTATGGACTTAAACAAGCAGATCCCATTGTGACCTCAAAGAACTAAGGCAACTGAGCTCTAACTGGTTGAAGCTCTGAGCTCTAACTGGTTGAAGCTCTGAGCT